TTCCTCAATAATAATGATAAAAACAACAGTGTTTTAAAAGTTTCATTTAAAGAACTTTTGCAGCATCAAAAACTTCATGCATTACTCAGAAATACAAGACTCAAACTCATTAAACAAGTATGTTCAAAACTATTAATTTAGGCAGCATTGCCTTATATAGGCATTAGGGCCAGCAAACAGATGATACAGAGCAAGAGGAATTGTTGCCAGTTACTTTAGACTGGAAAATATGAGAACAAAATCTAATGCTAGCTGCCAACTAATTCCTCTTCTCTTCTAACAAAAATATCAAAGAAAAGCTTTCCTTGGCTGCAGCCATTTGCTCTCTAATAAGAGGATAGAATTTGGTTATTGCTATAAAAAGCATTATTTAACATTTTTCTAGGGAAGTTAGAAAAATAAACACCAAGAAGACACACTGCAGTGGAGAGAAAAGTCTTCTTGGAAAAAACTAAATATCAATGTAAAACTGTCAAAATTATGCAATATCGTGATTCAAAGATACATTTTTTGAATAATCCACCCTTAAGTTTGCTCAGATCTCGACCACTAGCTTAGTCTGTAAATGAATGGAGGGCAAAACCCACTTTTAATAGTTTGGTAACTGAATGCTTTTGGAGATGGTTTGACTTTTTAATTTTCATAATCCAGTCAACTTCACATCCTTTTTTGTATCACTAAGTCAACCAGACCCCGAATAAAGTAGCATGGGGGTAATTACTCTGGACAAAGTCTTTCCCAAAGTTCAGAAAGCTGCTGACCACAAATGAGAGGTGTTTCGTTTGATGTATTTTCAGTTTACTATCTCAGATGCAAGTTGTCCGAGTTAAGCACTTCACAAATGCATGGCGCTTTGAGCAGATCGGGGACAGAAAGGACTCGGCACAGGTACTGGAGCTAAAAGCTGACTGGAAAGGTATCTGGGAGTACCAGAAAGGAAAGCTTCAGACAACGCTACCAGAGCACAATACTGGGAAACAGAGGAAGTGCCAGGAACTGCTTACGAGCATACCTGCTGCTAGTCTCTCCCTCTTTATTCCCTGCCAGCTTTCCTGCCTCTCCCCTAGAACACAACACAGAAGCAATAGGTGCAGGAGGTACCCCAGAAGAACAGTCCAGACACACCGCATCGGTCATGGCTCCAGCACTGAGTGTGTCAGAAAGGCTTCTGCAGGACTGTACACTGGTTTCTTTCTCAGTGAATACAAAAAAGAACAGAGAGACAACGCGAACCACATCTACAACACAGAGAAAGGTCATTCCTGTAGAAAAAAATATAAGGCGTGTGTGTCCACACAGTTAAACTCTTCTCCCTGCTCCTCTACAAGAGAGTGTTTGCATTTAACTTGTTTGTTGGATGGTCCCTGCAATGAGCTCAGCACTATACTGAGTCTGGAAATTGTTTGGGAGAGCAATAAATAGCAAAATAATATCAGAGTATGCTAACAATTACACAGTGCAGACTACCATAAGACAGTGTTTAATCCTTGTCATGGCCCTGCTTAGTTTGTTAGTAGAAACATGAACATTAACAGATGCCCTATGCTCATACTGCTCAGCCAGAGGGTAAAAAGGAGACAGAACTTAAGCAGACATCTTCTAATGTTTAGACTCACTTCAAAGAAATGTGTGGAAATCCAAATTTGGTTCATCTCGATGTACTTCCCCAACCCTTTCCAAATAAGAGCAATGATGTTTTATCAGTTTTGCAGTAAGTATTTCACATTTACAAAAAACCCTGCTAAATTATCCACAAAACATTTCCAAATTCTTGCATCTAAGATTTATGTCTACGTCCCTCTACACAAGTACACACGGTTTCTCCACACAGATGAACCAAGCCACACACATGACACAAGATACATTGTAAGTTTTTCCTAGGCCATACAAAAACACCTGTACAAACCTATCTTTTCAATGTTAGCAAAAAGTTATCATAGGACAAGAGGCAATGGCTTTAAACTGAAAGAGGGTATTAGCTATACATTATCTTCACTCCAATGGTGGTGAAACACTGGAACAGGTTGCCCAGAGAAGCTGTGGATGCCCCATCCCTGGAAGTGTTCAAGGCCAGGTTGGATGGGGCTTTGAGCAACCTCATCTAGGGGAAGGTGTCCCTGCCCATGGCACGGAGGTTGGAAATAGATGATCTTTAAGGTCCCTTCCAACCCAAACCATTCTATGATTCTATCATAATTGTGTTACGAGAATGCAATTTCATTGAAGAAAATAACAACATACCTTCTAAAGCTGTTGAAGTAAAGAATTCACTCCCATCCCCCAAACCTTGAAAACTAGATCAATATTTTAGGGTCACAGACTGCTGAGGAAACCAAAATGATCAATCTGAGACTGTTTCAAAGTGCCTAAACCCTTATACTTGTAATTTATGATCTAACATAGTCTGAAACTCTTAAATCTTGACATCACAAGTTTTACTGTTTAATCAGAACATACTCGAGAAATGAAAGCTTCCAATGGAAAATACACTTCCAACTAAGAGACGGAAATTATTAATTTCTTTAAAGAAGTCTGCATAGCATAAGAATTTCCATGATGTTCACATTTTCTATGAAGCTGTCTTACTGATACTTATTAAAAGCAGTATCAAACTTCACATCACTGAAACTGCCCTACACACAAATACACATCAAAGAACTTCTGCCAGCAAGTGTGCAATGTGTATTATGTTCTTTATTTTTTTTTTACTAAAATAAGACTGTTGTATGGACTTTGCAACATCTGTGAACAGTTCTTGATACATCCGTAGATTAAAAAAAAAATTTCCTGGAAGTAGTAAAACCTAGACTAGAATTACTGTCAAATTTTATAAGGTTTAATTCAATTAAAACTGTATAGTATGTCTTACTCATTTTCAGACACTGAAAACTACATTTGCTATCTATCCTTTGTTCTTCTACCAATGTTGCACCAAGTTACCAATAGACATACAGGTGCTTGTCAGCCAATCTTGCCTGCAAGATTCAGACTACAGCTTTTGAAGTGAAACAATCACTCCGAGTTGGAACCATCCGCTATCTATAGTGCCTTTATCATAGCACAAACTTTGATGACATACATCTAGCATTTTAATGTAGAGGAAAGCATTGAACTGAAATTGTGTGACTACACCACCCAGGTTCCCAACTTTCTGTATTAAAAAACTGTATTACTTTCAAACTTTGCACTTACTGTATTTTAAAAAGATTTATGATATTTTTAAATTTAAATTTAAATTCAGCATGAAAAGGAAAGACAGTCATATAAAACACATCTTTTCATTAAAAGTAACTATCAGGTAATTGTGACAGGCAGAATTCAGAAAAGTTTGTGGCTTTAGAAAACTTTCCGTAACTCATTTTCTTCAAGCTACCCAGATGCAGTTGTTTTCTTCATATTCAGTGAGGTAAGAATCATTCTCTTTAATTCTCTTAATTCAAGTGAATTTAAGCGTGTCTGGAATGACTACAAAGTTATTGAATCCTGAAAGAATGCATATCATTTCGGTGCCAGACTCCATGACACAAATTGATATTTGGCTGAGCCAAAAAATTCTCATCTGCTTTCACTGCTGTTTGGGTAGTAAAGAATAGGGAACCTTAGGAGAGATTTCTAAAGTGTATCACAGTTCCACTTAGATAAAGAAATCAGTTACTTCTACAAAGAACACAGTAGAATCCTATACAAATTCTATAATACCTTGAAGTAATTTCAGTTTGTACATAATTATATTATTTAAAATAAAAATCTTTTTTAATTCCTAAGAAGTATTTTGACTCTTATTAAGTCATGGTCAACACTTCTAGGTAATGCCAGTTAGAAAGCCCAGGATCTCACCTTCTACAGGACTCAAGAGGCTGGATACGACCTCGAAGGCCCATCTGTGTGTATGGTTCTGGAAGAGCTATACTTATGTCAATCCTAATGGATGCAGGTACAATCTGTTCTTAAGAGACATCAGTGACAGAGATTCACAGTGTCTCCAGGCAGACTACTGCAGCACTTCAGTACCACTACCATTCAGGCTTTCCCTCACCTCGCCCTGTCAGCCTGAACCTTCCTTGCCGTGACTATTTGTTATCCTATCTGCCACGGATATGCAGAATAGATTGCATGCTTCCTTTCTCTAAGAGCGTTGCATGTTTTTTGAAGAACATATTCTTCTCAGTCTTCTCTAAACTAAACAATTCCCACTCTTTTCGTCTGTCCTTGAGGGTCACGTTTATTCTCCTCTCCCTACTTTGGACACTCTTCAACAGGTCACTATCTTTGTTGAAGTGCTGTGCCTAAAACGGAAAGCATCTTGTAGGTTACTTCTTGTTTACACATGCCAGACCTTGTTGGCTTACTTTTGTTTCACTCTTATTCCTGTCCAAATGTGCACTTTGGCCTAGCACATATTCCAACTGAATTACATGGCACCCTCTTCCCCTCCAACTTCTGCTGCTGTCATGATCGTTTTGAATTTCAATTCTGTCTCACTCTGTGCTTTATCCACTCTCATACTTGGGTCATTGGTAAATATAATGGAATTTGCCCACCTGCTATCTAGGATAAATATTTCAATCATTGTAGTGGGTAATCTCAATACGCTCATTCTGATTTTAATTTGCAGTAACACTAGCATGGTTTTCAAAACAACTTTCCACAGATCTTGTCGAATTTTAACTTCGACCATCCTCACCTGCAGACTGTCATGACAAACAGCAACAAAAGGTTTTTTACAAACAACCTAGATGGCATCTGTTGTCTTATCCACAAGACTTGTAAGAAAAATTTGACAGCTTTGACAAAACACACTTCATAATTCCAACATAATTATTATTAATCTTGGTTTCTTCTAGCATTACTAACATTTGTCCATTATTCTTCTGGAAAAGTTCAACCAAATGGTGGCGATTTCCCAAATTCTTTCCTTTTCCTGCTTGGTTCTTGCTCCATCACTTTCTGACTACTGTCATAAGCACTCCAAAAAAGTAGAAACAGATAAAAGTACTTACAGGTTTCCTAAGAAAAAAAAGGGATAGTGCTCCAATTAGGGGCATGTCTCCAATTAGTGGTTCCAGGATAACTCTCATAGTGCCATGGATCTGTAGAAGGGGAGGAAAAAAAGGCAATGGAATTTACTTCAGTTCAAATTTTAAATAAAATTTATTCACTGGCTATGCTCACACTTATAATTCATTAAATTCTTGATTATGGAAGAATTCCATATACAAAGCTTTACATGTAATCCAAATCCAAAAAATTTAACACAGGCGCTAAATAGCTGGGCTTACAAATTCATTACATTTATCTACATGTTGCTGTGTCACGTAAGTGGTAATTTTACTAAAAATACAAAGTAGATCATTTTAACAATGTAAACAAACATAGCACAAACCAATATAACAGCCACCACAGATATCAGAACAAAAGTAGGTAAATGCTTATAGGTATGTCAGACACACACACACAAAAAGCATACTACTTCTCCTCGTTAGAGATCTGTTTTCAGAGAGTTAAGGAAATTTGACAAACAATATCAGAAGGCAAGGCTACTAATAATAATTGCATCTAACACTGAAATATTAAATAAAACAAAATTTTAAGCTCCACGTTCCCTTTAAAAACTTACACATCACATTAACATTGGTTTGATGTAAAACTATCTCCATCTTTTCCAGCAGGAAATGTTATATGTTTAAAACAGTTCCACATCTGAAAGAAATTTACCCTTTCAGCTAAGTCATGTTACTGAAATTATTATGTAATGCCAGTATTATGCAACTGAGGAAAAAAATAGTAAGCAACAAAACTACTAAATTACTGGTTCTTTCTTATAAACTGTTTTGTCAGAAAAGTAACGATTCAGTGATGACTCAATATCAAAATTAAAAAACTGAATTCCACCTGTATACTTTTCACACCAGCTCTGCAGAAGTATCTCTTGATCTCCAAATCAATTTCACAGTTCCCAACAAAACTAAAACAAAAAAGAAATTATTCATTTCATTTTAATGGACTAAACTGCAATGCTGCAACACACTGTTACTTCTGTTTTGCACTGTCATGACAACTTTGTATCTCAGTCCCTACACAAAAAATGCCTGTCAAAACATTACAACATATAACAAAGTCCACATTGTTAAAAAAATTACATCCCCTTCAAAACATCACCACTGTCATCAAAATCACTCAAATTAATACAGAGGTATGTTATCATCTCCAGAAGCACACATAAGAGAAAACATGCAAGTAGCCTTACTTTTGGGAAATAATGGACAAAGAATCCATACTCCATTTCAGGAAAGCTCTCCATAGGTCTCATTGATAGTACATGTACCTCTCTGTTCATCTAGTACAATCTCTAGTACATTCACTCTCACCTATTAAAATCATGAGAAGCACTAGACAGAGATGGTTATTTTGCTGAAAGTCAAAGTTGCCTGAAATATTCAGAGCCTTGCAAAACCAGTCATATTTCAAAATTCAATAAGCTGGGCATGCTGAGCTAGATGATCCACTAAGCAAAGTCTAAGCCAAAAGCAGTTAAGCCTTTTCTGAAGGGAGGGAGGAGTCAAGAAGCAAATTACAAAATACCATATCAAAAATGATGCAAGTTTTTCCCTGAACAGTTCTTGCATCCCATTTTTGGGAATGTAAGGTCAAGGGCTTGAAATTTTGCAGATGCTGCCCCATATCTCAGAGACAAATCTGTAGAAGATGTTAAAAAAAGCCCCAGCTATTCTGCCCATGCTACAATGCTAAAAGATTATCTACACACAACTCAGATTTTAGCAGCTGCTTTTCTTGAAGGTCCATGCAGATCAACCACGTACCAGCAGAGCTGAGCAGATCTTTTCCAAGAACTGCTGCTGCTGTAAGTCACATTGGGTCTGAAAACAAACTAATTCTGAGATTCAACAAGGAATTTAGGAAGAAAGCTTGAGACTCTGATTTAGCAAGAGAATTGGTCAATGATTCTACAGAATGAGAGCTAAAACCAAAAACCAACAGACTGAATACCAAGCCACTGCTAGGGAGAGACAGGCTGGACAAGGAGACTGGCTAAGATGATACAGGTTATAATGAAAGAAGAAAGAAATCCTGAAGAGCTTTCTGAACGGACTGTCCAGTTAAAGAAAATGAAAGCAGGAATAAAGTGGGGAGGAGATAAGGCAGCTTAAAAAAAAGTCAGACAGTGCTGAGAAGGGGAGGGAAATTTGGTTCCTTCTTCACATGAGGTTCCTCAGATCTAGCCTGTACAGTGAAAAAGTGTTCAGCCGCACTTAGGAGTCTGATGGAATCTTATTACAGAAACGCCTAGTAAATTAGGAAGAAAACAGAGTTGCTCTCCTCATGGGGCCATTTTAGGATCAATTCAAGATAAAATAAATTACTCTCACAGCAAGAGCAGAACAGCAGGACCTCTGTCCCCTCCTCCCTGACAACTGGTGACTGCAAGGTACTATCAAAAGAAAACAAAGGTGAGCGTTGTTGCATTCAGGATATCGTTATTCAAAGCATCTGTGGCATCCTGTGCTCTGCGTGTGATGATGCTGTCTACGGGATTTCAAGCAAATGCAAATTATACCAGTCCCTAAAAGAGAAATAAATAGTAGTACTGAGACATTCTTGTAAACATCAAACACTGGAATTTATGTTGAACTATTCAAAAGGTAACACTATGCAGAATCATTTTGGTAGAATAATCATTTTGGTAGAATAATCATTTTGGTAGAATAATCATTTTGGTAGAATAATCATTTTGGTAGAATAATCATTTTGGGGAACTGGAAGACAACAATATGACAGGGGTCTATGTGAAAGGAAGGTGACCGTTGCTTTCCCTGGAAAGAACGTAGTGTGACTGTACAGTTTAAAAATAGATACATAATTTTTAATACACAATTTAAAAGATGTAATTTCTATTTTTATCTATCTAACTATATATAGAGATACTAGAGCGATACAGATGTATATATAAAGACACACATGTATAATTGCATAACAACATGACACAGAGAAGCAAGGTCAATTAAAATCTGCAACTGAAACCTCCATCTTGGCACTTTGTAGCATCAGAACCATTTGTGTTATGAAGACTGGGAAGCAATATGCTCATTCGAAAATCTATAACAACATGATGACAAATTGAAGTAAAAATAGTAACAACCTGAATTTGAGAGTAGTAAGTCAACAACTTTTAACCTTATAATAAAGTTAAACATAGTTTTATACCCTAAGATATTTGGGTGAGTCCATTAACAGTCCATGCGGTACAGAATTCCACTGTTACATAATATCCAGCTTGAAGGCTCATTTAATAAGCAAATTCCATACATTCAGATCATAATATCCCCAAAATATTTATGACCCCTGTAATATACAGATCACTAAGCTAGATTACAGTTTAATGAGGACAGTCTTGTAAGAATATAACAGCTGTACTGAATCAGATCAGAATCACAGTAAATTGTATGTGGTCATTGTAGCCCAGAGAAGATACTCAGAAGAAAAACAAACAAACAAAGAATATGAGAAACATATTTCCCAGATTACGATGATCTTTGATTCTGTACTTTGGACTACCTTCTTCATTTTTAGAAAGTCTTTAGACCCCATATTTACATCTGTCTTCTGCCAGTATAATGGTAGTGAGTTTCTCCATTCGAGTATGCCATAAAAAAAAAAAAGCAAACATTTCCATGTGTTTAAATCTGCAGCTTAAAACTTTTAAAATTTTAGTGTGTCTATTTTTTGTGTCATGAGAAAGCTATTAACAAGCATTTCCTCAATCTTTTTTGACTTACTTCATTACAGTTCCCATTTAATTTGACAGTTTATCTTGTTTTCTGTTGATTCATAACCTTTAATTTTCCCCAGGTGTTTACTACATTCATGCACTCTAGCAAATGTAAGATTTCTATTTATTAACAATTTATTTAGACTTTATCCTCATTTGCTCAAGTAGTTAAAATTTTTCATAGATTCATAGATTCATAGATTT